TTGATCTGGTTCAAACCTTTATCTCAGGCAGAAGTGACTAAGAAGTTTACAGGGAACTTACTAAGTTTTCACTGACCAGGGGAGGACTGAATCCAGTTCTCATATTTTGGCTCAGACTTACCCCACTGCTTTTTAGAATTGTAATAAATGCTGTTTAAATTTTTGCTGAAATATCAGTTAAGGATGCCATCAGCTTTTTAAATTACCAGACCAACAAATTCAGAATTAAGTTAGACTCTTACTATTAACCTTAAAAAAAAATCTGATTCATGCTCCTTGCTTTATTTTTGTTTAAACATTGCATAAAACTACTCGTACATCATTTCCATTGACTAATTCCAGAATCATATGTTGGTGAAATCATTTGTGCGATCTTGGCTAGTGCTTCAGAAATTCTTGGCCTTTAAGCAACAAATGAAAAGTTTATTTTCACTGTGTTCAGTGGTAGATTTAATCTCCTGAATGCCATACAGTGCAACATTTGATCTTTTGAGCCATGTAAATAGTACATAAGAGGTCAAATGACGAGTAAGGTTCCTTAATAAAATTATTTTGTACACATTTTCAAATGAAGCTTGGCTTTCCACATGTAGTAGGTGTATGTGTCTATAACATAAAATATGTTTCTCATTTTATAAACAATAAAACCTAGGTTGAACAGAAGCCTTTTTTATAATTAAAAAACCCTGATTTATAATTTAAAAAACATGTGTTTTAGTGTAAGAAAACCTAAGGAAAATTGTAACTCTAAAACAGTCAGCTCGTTTAGAAAACACTTCAAGATTTGTACATGTTAAATTCATAATTCTATTAAAAGGATTGAATTTGGTAATAGGAAGCTTTTATTTATTTATTTTTTAACTGTTAACAGAGTTAAAGAATTTGCATTTCCTAAAAAGATGTATGACTCCTACCTACCAAAGTAACAGGAAAGATTAACAAAGTGTTATTTCTGCCTTGCTAAAGCACTTGGATAAGATAGATGCGTTTTACATCAGTGGTCTAAAATCATGCACCACATTTTTTTACACTTTGGGAGAGAAAGCATGTGTTCTGTCTTACATAAGACTGACTAACGTTATAGTTTATGAAGAGGTTTGCTTAAATAAAATGTTTGACGTAAAAATCTACATTTAGAGATTGGCTGTTTAGAACCTGAAACAAGTTTTAAAACGTTACAGATAAAACTTGATGGAATTTAATAATCAAATTGAAGTCATCAGTGAATCTAGTAGCCAGTGACGTAAAAGCTGGTGATATGATATATATGATCTTTATTACTTTCAATTGTAGAGTATGTAATAAAAGGCACTAGTTTGGCTGATTTCACTAGCTGGCAAAATGTTAGTTGGCTTTTAAACAGTGCTTTAATGGTTTCCATGTTGCAAATACTTTTTGCAAAATGTAGGTGATCTGTATAGATCTTTACATGATTTAACTTTAGCAGATTAGCTTTCATTGTTAGCTTAGCTAAGCTTCCTTTAGAAGTCACTGTAGACTCTTGATTAATGGACTGTTTCATTCTGTTTCATGTTTAATAAGGGGAATGGCATTTTTCTAAGGTTGAAGGAAATTCTTTTCTATGCATTGATTTATGATTTTGTTAAACCGAAGTGCTATTTCTGCCTTATTAAAATGCTTGGATAAGATGAATGTGTTTTATATCAGTGGTCAGTAAAATCATCTACCAAAATCTTTTACACTTTGGGAGATAAAGAAAATGTTCTGTGTTATACAATACTGACTAATTTTATAGTTTTTGTAGAGGTTTGTTTAAATAAAACATTTTACTTGGAAATCTACATTTAGAGATTGGCAATTAAATCAGATTTTGTTAAAAGTTAAATTACTGGTAACTTTAAAAAAGTTTTGCTTGTTTACTTTTAGTGTTAGTCCACTTCAAACTTTTAATCCTCTATTTTATCCTATTCCATCCCCCACACACCATAGAAGGTCCAGGCTCCCTGATGGCCATGTGACTTCTGTCCCACTCTGGCTCCTTGGGGTACCCTCCCTTTTTACCTTGCTTGCCATGCCTTGGTGGAACTTTTATAGTGTTTAGGGAGGCTGCCCCAGAGTAAGCCCTAGTTCACTTTAGCCTTACCCCTTGGGCACTAAATTGTGGCCCTCCTGGCCCTATTAGTGCCTCAGGGCACCAATTACCTTATGAACAGCATTTGTGGCCTCCCTTGTAGCCATGCCTATGCCTTTCAGGTGTTACTCTCGATCCAAGCACTGACTTTTTTGATCCTCCTTAAAACATACGACAGAGGTTTGTGGATGTAAGGTATGGAAAAAGCTCATCAGTGTGAGGTTAATGGTAGTCTTATGACACTGTCTGTTTTCATGGTTCATGGACTAGTTCAGGGGTCGGCAACACTTTTTTCACCTGGGGGTGGGATACCTTTAAAGGAGCTTAGCTCTGAGCCTCTTCTAACTTGGCCCATGCTGCTACTACCATCGCTTCTCCCCACTGCCTGGGCAAAGCCCTCCTGCTGCTGAAATGCCTCGGAAGCCACTGTGGGCTGCATAAAATGGCTCCATGGGCCAGATTCAGCTGGCAGTGCATAGGTTGCTGACCTGAACTAAGCTACTAGAAAGCTGGAATAAAATGAGTGTAGCTATATTTTTATTTATTTTTATTTTTACTTCCAAAATTAATAAAACATACTTCTCTAGCTTAAAAACAAAGACACTTTTTTATTATTTTTGGAAATAAATACAAAAATAAACAAAAATACAGCTACACGCATTTCATTCCAGCTTTCTAGTAGCTTAGTTCAGGTCAGCAACCTTATGCATTTCCAGCTGAATCTGGCCCATGGAGCCATTTTATGCAGCCCACAGTGGTTTCTGAGGCATTTCAGCAGCAGGATTCCTGACTCAGACATAGTACATGTTACTCTAATTAAAAGAGTGATTCCTGTCACAGATAAAATGTGGGCACTACTTGCAGAAGCTATTGCTCAGGACACCACATTGCAAAAAGTGATAACAGCTTTTTGTGCTGGGTGGCTTGGAAAACATATACATAACCACTACTCTCAGTTCACAGAAGAGCTGTCAATACCAGATGGCATTTTGTTCAAAGACTCATGATTTACTGTTCCAGCAGTGCTAAAGAAAGATGTTATACAGAATACATGAGGGGCATCTAGGCATTTCAGAATGCAAAAGGAGAGCAAGGGGTGCTCTACGCTGGCCCAACATAAATAATGACAGTGAAGATAATGTAAAAGGCTTGTACAACGTGCCTAGATCAGTGCAAAGAAAAGAGCCCATGATGGTCATGGAGCTCTGTGGTATCAAGTGGGCATTAACTTATGCATGCAGGAAAAAATTATGTATTGGTGCTTGATTATTATTCTAACTGTCTTGAAATTTCATGGCTCAAAAGTAAAGCAGCAAACCATGTCAGAACTCGCATCAAATAGATTTTTGCTAGACATGGGATTCCACAAACTGTGAGACCTCAATTCAACTATCTTGAGTTTAAAGAGTTTGCAAACAAATATGGATTCCATCACAACACTTTAAGTCCTAAATACCCACAATCCAATGGCCTGGTGGAAGATGGAGTACAAATAGTGAAGAAATTGGAAAAAAAAGCCATCGATTCGCACGTGGATGTTTACCCGTTACTCTTAAATTGTCCCCAGCACAGGTAACTGAAAACCAGGCTGCCAAACCTTGTGGATGATGCTCATCAGGATGAAAAGCAAGACATGAAAACATTTAAAAAAATCAACAAACTCAAACAAAAATGGTACTATGACAAGGGTTCCAGGGAGTTACTACAACTGCACAACAAAGCTATGGTGCTTATTTCAGATCAACGAACATGGAAACAAAAAGCACTAGTTTCCCATCGAGTAGTTTCCAGATCCTATAAAGTTATCATACCGGAAGGACCCCTGTTAAGAAGGAGCAGATGACGCTTTAAGCTTGTAAAAGGGAAAAAAAGAAGCAGCATCACAAGATTCACCAAAGGAAACAGCTAACAACAAAGCAACAAGAAATGACAATGGAGATTGAAAATGACACAGAAGTAGAGACATCGGAACAAAGAAACCAAACAAGAACTGAACCAGTAAGGAATGAGAGTGCAGAGAATTTGAGAAGATCGCTTAGAGCTGAAAAGCCAATGCAAAGACTAGTAGAGGCCTGTTAAAATGTGCTTTAACTGTGGGTTGAACTAACTTCCATTACAAGGGATATGTTGCATGTAAAGGGGGAAGATGTGTGGATACCTTTAAGAGTGTTATGTATAAGTTGTTACATTTGCCTTGGGATTTGAGGAGGCAACTGAAGGGAACAGCACAACAGTAGGCTGAGCACTGCTCTCTGAATAAACAAGCTTTATTGTTCTATAAGCTTAACTCCTTGGTCTTTTGAGAACTACACAGATAACGCTCCTATTTCAGAGGATTAGGATTCAAAAGGTGTGGGGGGGGGTAGAACACTAGAAAAGTCAGGACATTGGGGCAGTGGAGTCACTGAATCTGGCTTTGTTTTATTTGCACTATGGATGTTCTTTGCTCTCTAATTAGCCACTTTCTTTTCCCTCTTTTTATTCCCAGTCATTCCATTGTGTAGAGTCCTAATTGGGCCAATATAAATATTGGTAGTAGAGCATTCGCTTTAACTTTGAACATAGTGGGTGAAGTCATGGGCTCATTAAGTTAATGGATGTTTTTCCATAGATTTGTTTGGGTTTTAAGACTTCATTCTATTCTGTTTTGAGTCATAAGTGGTCTATTAGCTAAATGTAACTTGAAACCTAAGCCTTAGTTACAATAAGGTTTCCTTAGATAGCTTTGACAGTGCAAAAGGTCATTATATTGGAAGTAAATTACACTTGTGCCCATTTTAAAGCCCCTTTATACTGCCAATGGTAAATGGGTGTTCCTTTACACTTGAAGTATATAAAAATTCAGGCCCAAGTGTTTACTTAAAAAATAAATGGCTGATTAACATTGCTTTGTTTCAATTTCATATAGGTCGAGATTTGATATGCATACAGTCCATGGATGGAATGCTTATGTTGTTTGAACAAGAAAGTTATGCTTTTGGACGATTTCTTCCTGGCTTTCTTCTGCCTGGTCCATTAACTTACAGCTCTCGAACGGATTCTTTCATTACAGTATCTTCTTCTCGGCAGGTTGAGAGCTACAAGTATGTATACATGTTAATTATTGTGTGGGGCTTTTTTGTGGCTGCTATCATAGAATGTATAAGTTGACCAAATGGAAATAGGTATGTTCTGTGAAAGTGTAAATATCACAGTAACATTTTATTTGCTTTTATTACTGTTGTACCGCATTTCTCCCTGCAAGAGGGAAAAAAACCATAACAAGATTTAAGTTGCCAGCTGACTGCTTTTATTATAGCTTTGAGCATTTGTGTATTAATCTGAAGAGGTATAAATTTGCCTTATAGTAATTACCAGGAGATTGAGACAAAAGTCTAGAGATAAGTAGAGTCAGGGGACCTGGCTAAAAACAGTATGGAGAAGCAATATCAGAAGCCTTAGTAATCTTCTCAGGGAGAAGATTGGGCAGCCAGGTGTGTGTGTGTGTGTGTGTGTGTACACACTTTCTCCTGGAACATTGTCCAGTCTTCTCCTTGAGAACATATATGTTTTGTGTGTGTGTGTATACATATACGGTATTTGAGTTTATGTACTAATGCAAGAAGCATTGCAAATAAACAAGAACAACTGGAGGTCCTACTCATTGACAAGCCCTTGATTTAAAGATGGAGGAAAGGTCATTGATGGGTCTTGAGGGGACTTCAGAGTCCCATCTTTGAGCCACAGATTCATCTGCAAAAGCTGTAGTTCTTTCTTCAAGGCAGAGTAGGCTATATGCTGTGGTTTCTGTCCTCTCTCTTTGTCTGCTCTCTCCTCTCTGTTTTGAGGGCAAGATGCTTTATCTCAAAGTGGGCTGCCACTTGGTTGAGGTTGTGGCACCTTTGGAGTTAGTTAGCAGTCAGCTCCTCCCAGCTCTTGATGTCAGCATCCATTTTCTTAAGGTATGCCTTCAACATGTCCTGGTACCATTTCCTCTGGCTGCCATAAGATGTTAAGCCACAGTGAAGCTGGGAGTAGAGCACTTGTTTTGGGAGTCAAGAATCTGGCATCTGCACATGATGTTCTGTCGAGCACAGTTGGTGGATGGTGGGGCCAGGCCGCGGGGTCAGGGCCCTTCCCAGCTGGCTGCAGTTTGGGGCTGAGGGAGCTGTGCACCCAGATTACTCCTGGCTCCCCACACCCAGGCTGGGCTGGGCTCTCATGGAGCCACTGTGGTGGGCATGGCTCTCCCCCTCTGGCTTGGGTTGTGGCCTTAGGAGCCACAGCCAGCTGGAAAGGGCCTTGCCTCTGCAGCCCGGCCCCACTATCTGCCTGGCTTGGCTGGGGCTGCAGGGCTGAGCTGGGCCAGCCCTCAGATGCTGCTGAGGGTGTGAATGGAGGGGCTGGGCTGGGCTGGGCCATGTGGGCAGGGCCCTTCCCAGCCAGCTAGGGCCGCGGGAGCTGTGTGCCTGGATTGCTCCTGGCTCTCTGCTGTAACAAGTGGGGATCCTGGGGCCAGTCAAATCGTTGGCCCACCCACTTGTCTCTGGGCTAACCGCTTGCCTACCGTGTCTGCCACACCTTCGATGATATTAATTAGATGTTAACCAGGTGGGAGGCTGCCCATTTACTTTTCAAGGGCCTATGTACATGACTTTGACCTTCCCTATACTGTGTCCCATGCCTTGCAGGTGGCATCCATATCTCCCCAGTGCCTCACACTGGGATCTGCACTCTTGTGCCCTCACACTGGGACCCACACTCCAGTGCCACATGTCGGGACTCTCACTCTTGTGCCCTCACGCTGGAACTCTCAATCCCTATGCCCTCACGTTGGGACTTGTGATCCTTGTGCCCTCACACTGGGACTTAAAACTATGTACTCAGGGCTCCCAGCCCTGACCTTTTCCCCAGGCTCCGTGCCCAGCTTGGCACCCTCTTGGTCCCCTCATGCCCCACACTGGGTCTCAATCCCCATATGCCCCACACTGGGCTTCTCAGTATCCCCAAGCTCATCCCCTACCTGACACTGAGTATACCCTGTGCTCTGCTACACCCGCATCTAGGCCAGGGTGGGCTGTTATGGAACTGCTGCGGTAAGCAGGGCTCTTCCCCTCCTCCACTTCCTCCTTCCCCACCACAGGGCTTATGGGGTGGAGGGGAGCCTCTGTGCAATGCTGCCTTGGAGTTCAGGGTTGGAGGGGCACAGTGCTAGGCCCTGCTGTGGAGCAGGGCCTAGCACTGTGCCCC